CTGTTGAGTGTTTCAGAGAGTGCCCATGTGCGCCCAGTTACCACACTATTGAGTGTCTTCCCAGCTCTACCAGTTCTCCATCTCAGCTCCTCAGATGAAACAGAATGGTTTGTGTGTTCTGTACCCCAGCTTTTCTTGTCTAATGCCAATGCCTGGACACAGGCTGTCTGTTTCTCCCTGAGTCAAACTCTGGCAGAGACAAAGAAAGGGTCAAAGATGTCCCTGCCCATTGTCCCCTCGCCTCTCTTCTGGGGAGCAAGAGATCCCGTTGTGGTACATTTCCAAAGCCAAAGCCAGTCTCAGGACACATGACTCTGAGGTGGGACCAGGACAAGGACACATGCTCCACTCATCCGGAACTCAACCCTCCCTCCCGTGCACACAGGAGGCACCCAAGACACCTGTGTCTTCCCCACACTTTATTTGCTGCTCCAGCTGCTCTCCTGTGGATGTGATGTGGTCCCTGTCGTCTGACACGCACACAGCAGCAAGGCCTCTCAGACTGGGGTAACCCACCACAGGACAAAACAGCATGTGGAAGTCGAAGTCTTGGGAAAGCAAGAGTCCCAAGCTCAGGGAGCTGCCTAGGATGGGGGAAGGGAGTCCTCAAGGGTTAGAAGAGCATCTCCATCCAAAAAGGAGGTCCGGGTGGAGTGCCCCCCCAGGATGCCCCACCCCCACTGTCACCTCACACTTGCTAGAGCAGGTTGTGAGGCATCTCAGGCAAAGGATTTTCCTCTGAGGCTCCCTTGAAACAAGCCTGAATTCGCAGCTGCAGCTGGTGACCCTGGTCTCAGGTCACCACTGAACTCTGTCCCTCCAGCCTAGGAAAGACCTAGCAGCTCCCAGTTCCTATTCCTACACACAAGACACTGTCCTGTGTCTTCTCAATAGCTGCCGGCTTTCACCAGCACCACAACTCACTACCCTGGACCCCTCCTGCAGAAACACTCCAAGCTCTTTCGGGGTGAGTCCCCAGTCAGACCCGACTCAAGCCCAAACCGGACTCGGCTATTTTTCCCACAAGCCCCAGCCTGCCCCTTCTTAGTAATGGCCTCACTCCACCCTGGCCCAGGCCTTGAAGTGGCCATCTGGATGTGTCCCCTTCCTCATCCTAACATCTGCACACTGTCACATCCTGTCACTTCTCCTGCATCTGATCCCGACTCACCCTCCTCCTGCCACTGCTTCCCACCTGCAGCCTCTCCAGTCCCCTCCAGCCCCCTCTTCTTGAACAGCCACGACTCCTCATTCCCCACCACAGAACTGCCCAACAGCTTCCCAAGAATACAGCCCAAGGTCCTACCTGTCCCTAGCCTCGTCTTACACTTGATCTGGGTTGCAGTGGCCAGGTTTCTGGTTCTTCTAATAAAACAAACTGGTTCCAGCCTCAGGGCCTTCAAAAGCCTTATAGCTTCCTTAACTCTGAATCATTTCCCAAAGAACTTCCCTCAGTCTGCCACTTTTCCCAGCCTAGTTTCTCCAAACACCTAATTGTTATCCACAATCCCTTAGTGTTAGACCTTGCTAATGTCAAGACACTTCTCTGAGCCAGTGTGTGCAAGAGTGTGTGTGCATGTATGTGTATGTATGTGCATGTGTATGTGTGTGCACATGTGTGTCTCCTTCCAGGAACCCAAGTCCCATCAATCCAGGGAAGTTCCTCTCACCTCTTGCTTTGCTCTGTGCCTACAACTGTACTAGGCACAAAGTAGCAGCTCAATAAATAGTTGCTAAATGCAGAACAAAGGGGGAACCCTGGGGAAAGGGAGCCAGTGGTTTCTGAGGACTGTCCAAAGTCAGCAGGTGACTTGGCGGCTGTGGATGAGGACTCTTGACCGGTCAAAGGGACATGCTAGTGAGATTGTCCTGGCTCAACAGTCCCTTTCGGCCTCCACCACCCCCATGCCCACTGCCTCCAGCACCCCCGCTGCCCCCGCAGTACTCATGCAGCCTATGCCGCAGCGTGACAAGGGCTGATCCAAGACAGGCCCCGTTGGGAGCATGAGGCCCCCCAGGCAGCTGAAGCAGCAGAGTGGCCACACCAGCCATGCCATCTTCTGTGGGTTCAAGGGTGATGGGTCCAGCTCGTAGGCCAGCTGTGGTGGCAGGGAGGCCTGGTGGGCAGCACCCCCCTCCCATGGGTCCCCAGGGCCCCCCAGCTCCTGTCAGCAATAGAGGTGCTAGGAAAGGCTCAGAGCGGCGGAAGGCAGGAGGTGGGAGCCCAGCTGGCTTCCAAGGAGGGGCTGGGCCAGTAGGCTCTGGAGGGAAGCAAACAGTGACCTTGGCAAAGGGGCGGCTGGCCATCTTGGTCATCTCCTGCAGGTGCCGGCGCTGCTCTTGTCGCTGGTCCAGGGCCTGCTTGGCCTTCCAGAGGAGAACACAGAGTGAGAGGAAAAGGAAGAAGCAAGAAAAGAAGACGGAGAAGAAGACGAACAGGTCAATGTGGGCCTGGTCTTGCCGGAAGAAGAGCAGGCCCTGTGAGTCCGCCGAGCCGTTGGCACCAGGCCCACCGGGATCTCCCACGCCCAGCAGCAGCAGGTAGAAGCGGCTTGATTTGAGGGCATGGTGCTCGTGCGGATAGGTGATCACCAGCCTGTCCCGCACACTGCGGACCACCAGCACTGCCGACGGCTCTGTCACTGTCACATAGGTAATCAGGCCCCGGGGCCACACCTCCCGGACTCGTGGCTCCACTGGAGTGCCTGGACCACTTCCAGTCCCTAGTCCTCCTAGGTCCCCGGCCACCCGGGGTCCACCGTCAGCGGGAGGAGGGGGAGGTGGGGGAGGTGGGGGCGGCTGGATATGCACAGTATGGACACCCGTATCAGGGGCCACTCGGACCACAAAGGTGTCATAGGAAGTGGAGACGTAGAGGTCCACAGCACCAAAGGTGACATCTAGTGTCAGGCGAATGTCCACGTTGGTGAACTTGGGCTGCACGCCAAAAAGCACAGTGCGTCCAGGACCCAGGGCCCGGCGTTTGGGCTCGTGGAAGCAGTTGGTCTGGGAAGTAGGGTCCAGGCAGCACTCCTGTTCCACTGAGATGAGCCGGTAACACTGCTGGCCCCCTAGAGGGCTCCCGTGGAATGACTCCCGGCACTTGGCACACTGTGAACAGGAAGGTGTAGAGGGGGCCATCAGGGCTGAGCTCCGTTTGGAATTGAGACCCTCAATT